TTGCTTTATTTCATAGCCTTTAATACCCTAATCCTGGTTCTTTTACAAAATGGATGTATTCTTTCCTATTAAAAGATACTGCAAAGTAATGGTGGGTGAGGTGTGGTTTTAGTGAGCAGCTGCTCAGAACCTCAGCAAAGCATGTGTTTTTCTTTTCTCTTTTCTTTTTTGAGACAGAGTCTTGCTCTGTCACTGTGGGTAGAGTGCTGTGGCGTCATAGCTTACAGCAACTTCAAACTCTTGGGCTCAAGCGATCTCTATCCTCAGCCTCCTTTTCTCACAGAGTTTATTTTAAATACTATGCCCTACTGCATTAAATGCTCAGAATAAAATTTTTGAAAGTTTTAAGACATGGCTCATACAACTATAAAAGCAAGACAAGCGAAAACCTTAGCAACTCACTCATAAAGAAACTGGTAAGGTGATAAAATGGGCTCAAATTTGAGGAATTGAGTATTTATAGGCATTTAAAAAAGAATGTTAGGCCAGCTCTTGCAGCCTCGGTGGGAATTTCAGCAAATGAAGGGGGAGGGGAGCCCAGAGGGTGGGGTGCTGGGGCACCTCCCTGGTACATGGCTTCTCCTAGCATGACTCAATCTGATCAGTGCATAAGAACTTGACTCCTGTGTCCTGCACGGGGAACTGGGGCCTGATCACCACCCACACCAAAGAACTGTCACGCCGCCACCTCTGCTCCCCTGTCATTTCATAGTCCCAGTTCACAGCCATGAACAACCCACAGCACTTCTACAGTGAATCCCTTCTTCTATAACTGGAATGGGGAACATCTTGCCGCAGCTGGAACACAGTCAGAAGCTGCTGATGGACTTGGAATCACTGTCTGCATCTTCATGTCAACCAGCCTACTGGTCATGGTGGCCATCTACATCAGCCGCTATTTCCATTTTCCGATTTATTACTTCATGGCCAATCTGGCTGCAGATTTCTGTGCTGGGTTGGCCCACATCTACCTAATGTTCAACACAGGACCAGCACGTGGAGATGGACTGTGAGCTCCCCCATCAGGGCCTCATTGACACAGCCTGACAGCCTCTGTGGCCGACTCACTGACATCTGACAGCCTCTGTGGCTGGCTTACTGGCATCCGACAGCCTCTGTGGCTGACTCACTGACATTTGCCATTGAGAGGCACATTGCAGCTTTCCGCACGCAGCTCCACACACAGATGAGCGACCAGCAGGTGGTGGTGGTCGTTGTGGCCATTTGTTCTGGGTGCTGTGCCTAGTGCAGGATGCAGCTGCATCTGTGATGTTGAAAATCGTTCCAACATGGCCCCTCTACGTGACTCTTACTTAGTCTTCTGGGCCATTTTCAGCTTGGTGACCTTTGTGGTCATGGTGGTTCTCATGCTACATCTTTGGCTACGTCTGCCAGAGGACTGTGGGAACGTCTGCGCGTAGCTCTGGACCCCGAGGAAATCGGCGCACCATGATGAGTCTTCTGAAGATAGAGGTCACTCTGCTTGAGGGCACATTTGGTTTCTAATATGTCTTCTCTGCCAGATTGTCAGATTTTCAAGGGAACGCAGGGATTGTAATGACTTATTATCTCATCTTCACATTGCCTGTCACAGTTTTCTGGGACAAAGAAGGTGTTCAAGAAATACTTGTTGAGTAAACATATGTAATGACAAAACCAAGCATCTGAGTCTTCACGAGGGAAGGCCTGAGAAAGCCATTCCCTGCAGTCAGAGCCCCCAAGCCACGTGGGAGCCAAACCTGGTTACTTGGGATGACTCTATTACTTGTAAGTTCCATACCTTCTAATCCAAATGCAGCAACTTGGAAAAGGCAAAAAAAAAAAAAAAAAGAGAGAGAGAGAGAGAAAGAAAAAGAATGTTAGAATAAGATGTCTGGGTTAGATACGAAACTATTAATATCCTGTGCAGCAATAAAAATTATAATGTTGGGGTTATCTTTTATCTTAAACAGAAATTATCTGCATCACTAGCAGACAAGATCCGTAACTCACCATTCCAGCATCAGAGTCCCGAATTATGGCAATAACAATCTAACATAGTTTCATTCCCCGGGAAAATTAAATAATCCTTGGGTGGTCTTGTTAAGCAATCTGTCAGTATAACATCAAAAGAGCATTCTGTATCTCTTGATGTTAGTTCCAAGTTTTTTTGGTAACAAAAATAACAGAAAGATGGCCACTTCTGAAATAAAGTTGTTAACTATGAAGATGAGCATTTGTTGGCATGTTTCCATTGTCAATATTTAAACCATCTCCTTATTGAAATATTCAACTCCTAAGGCCACAGCTATTAATTTTTTAAATAAAATTGTTCTTTCAACTTCATTTAACTTTATTAAATGTCAATTGGCCTGGGAAAATATTGCTGAAGAGCTTTGATAAGGACTTTCTTCTTGTGTGGGTGTTTTATTCCCAGCTTCACTTTTTAAATAGCTTACGTTAACTTGCAATGTCTTATAATGATGTATTATTTTCCTATTTACCTAAGAATGTTTCAAATGCGTGGCCTTAAGCCAAATTTTTTCATCCATAAAGTTCATGTAGATGATTTTTATAAAACTACCATAATTAAAAATGTAGTTTTAATTGTAAATGTGTTGGGTTACACAAAAGTTTTTTTCACTTTTATATGCGTATCTTTTTAATTCTGTCAACCATTTAAATCAGTGTGTTTGTCATACTTTCCAATTTTTCAAATTTTTCAATCATTAGTGATTTAGTTAAAACTTTAATGAATAAATGGTAAAACTATAGACAGTCTCTCCTTTCACTATATTCCCTGGCATAAAATTGAAGAGAAATTTTATGTCATTCTTTTCAACTTTTGGCAACAAAAGAAGGATGCCAAATAAATAAAAAGAAAAAGCTAAGTGAAATCTTTTTAATTGCAATATGGCGTTTTTTCTTTTTCATATTCATCTCTAAGTGCTTTTTGCCAAGACATTGTAATAACCAATTTTGTAGGACAACATTAGTCTTTACTGGTAAGAAATAAGTAACTATGGATGACTGAAACGGGAAAACATCACTGGATATAAAGGAACGCAGCAGAGAGGGGAGAAAGGGTTGGGCAGTTCACACCCAGCAGGGGCAACACCCGCTAACGGGGAGATGGGCACACTTAAAAGTTTGGCTCAAACTGTAAAAAAGAAGTTTATGAAACCAAAATGTTTGTACCCATAATATTCTGAAAAGGAAAGAGGGAGGGAGGGCAGGAGGAGGAAAGAAGGAAAGTGCAGCAGGCTGGGTTTAGCCAGGGCCGTGCACTCTGCTCTGCCGGTTCTGGTGCTGGTCACAGGCAGAGGACGGGGGCCAAGATCCGGCCAGAGCTCTGCTGGCCCAGCTGTGACCACACTCTTGGGGGGGCTTTTCTTCTTCTGACCTTTCCCGGGGGCACTTGTATGCTTAGTGCAGAGGCACCTTATGGGCGACTGGAGGCCAGGCCTGCAGGGGCGTCCACTCTGCAGCCCCAGAGGGCACATGCAGATTATTTGAGGACTGTTTTGTTTATCTGTGGTGTCAGGTGTCAGATATCAGATCCTGCAAAAAATCTGTACAAACCTTTTATTTTGCCCATCAGCTTTCATTAGTATTTGTATATTTACTGTGTGGCCCAAGACAACTCTTTGTCTTCCAATTGGCAGAATAGAAAAAATGTCGGACACCTTCATGGAGGGCCTGATGTCCACCTTTTGATGATTAGACAGCATTTTTTGTCTCAACAAAATATCTGCAACTGTGGCATTTCATAGTAACAAATTCAGCTTTGCAAGCAAATGCTAAAAAAAAAAAAATTCTCCAGTTTCCAAGCAAAATAGTAAAAATGTAAACCTTAAGAAACTCTTAAGAAACTGGAGTAGGCTTGACGTCTGTAGCTCAGCAGCTAGGGGGCCAGCCATACTGGAGCTGGCGGGTTCAAACCCAGGCCTGCCAAACAACAATGACAACTGCAACCAAAAAATAGCCAGGTGCTGTAGCGGGTACCTGTAGTTCCAGCTACTTGGGAGGCTGAGGCAAGAGAATCGCTTAGGCCCAAGAGTTGGAGGTTGCTGTGAGCTGTGATGCCATGGCACTCTACCAAGGGCAACAAAGTGAGACTCTGTTTCAAAAAAAAAAAAAGAAACTAGAGTAAACTTCTACAATATGAAATTGAGACATAACGGGTACCTGTGTTTGCATTTATCTTATGGATAGTGGTGGTGATACTAAATTATCACAGATACACCTTGGTTCATTTGACTAAAGAAAAAATTAAAATCATTTTCTCAATCTTGTCTGATAAGATCAAGCGATTTCTATTATCAAAGCATATTTCAATTTTCTATAACTAGACAGTAAAATACAAACCCTAAAACTCTATAGGCTTGTTGGGATATTTTTATGAGACCATAATGATAGTGATTTTTTTCACAGGGGCTATAGGTACTGATAAATATTTCCATTTCCCAAGATACATTATAATCTTAGTATTTTTTTTCCTATAATGTAAAGCAACCAAATTTTGGTAAAATCGTAGTTCAGTGACCTTAATTTAAATTATACACATAAGATTTAGTGTTTATGCGAGCGAGGAATGAACCCGTTTGACTGAAGAGTGCCCAGAATTTTTTTTAATCCTTGCCTTTGGTTCCCTAATAGGGTGAGTGCTTTGTTTTCTTCATTGTAAACTCATGTTTCGGAAGCACAGATAAGTGAGAAACAAATCATTTCTTTTTATAAAGGCTTAAAGTAAAGTTTCTACTCTTTGAGAAGTACAAGGTTACTCCTAGGGTTTAATAAGAATTGAAATCAGTTGTCAACATGCGTTTGAAAGCGCATTAACACTGCGTGGTCACATGACCCTGGTGGCACCTGAGTGGCCTGTCAGCCGTAGCACAAGCAGGTTCTGTTACCGCATCACGATTCTCTTGTTGACTAAATCTGGAGCACATGTCTGCAGGCTGTTCTCATACACCCGTGTGCACACCTGTACACACACCCTGTGAGACCCACAGAAACTTTGAAATTCACAGTCCTGTCGTGAAGGTCATAACTTGACTTATAGCTATTGCTATATAATTAGCCATCATCAAGCATTAGATACGTCTGTGTTACGGGTCAGCATGTTACATGTACTAATATATTGAATCTTCTTCTAGCTCCATCTCATTGCAAAATGTAGAAGTTCATTGTTAACTCGGTCATCATTCCGTTTCTCAGTTAAAATGAGGGTTTTCTGCCTATTTCTATAATACAAAAAAACCTCTGATTATATTCATTTGTAAATGAATTGAATTCTGCTGTAGTAATATTTTTGCATGTATAGTTTAATCCTTTATAAAAAGTGGAAGTTTTAAGAATATGTAATTACCGATCCCATCATCCTGAATAGGGCCTCTCTCTTATAGTAGAGAAAATTTTGCCTGAACCAAGACATAAGTAAGATAAATTATACTTCATCTAGAAAATTAATATTTTTAAGACTAAACCCTGTAGTTTCCAGGAATGAAAAGCATTTTCTAACATTATTTATCTACCAGGATGCTCAATTGTTGTGCATTTTTCTGGGAAATCCCAAAAGAAGTTTACTGTTTATCTTCCATCCTCATCACCCTCCGTCTGAACAAAACACTAATCAAAGGCAAGGAACTGATATTTTAATCTTTTATTCTTCCTTTTAAAATATTTTTATTTCTCTGTCCTTCTAGTATACATAATAGTCCTCTTTATTAACTTACCACATGTTTGAAATAAATTGCTCATTTCCTATCACAGACAATAGCAGGTGTGGATGCTCTTAGCTGTCTCTCACCTCCTCCACTGAGCCGCTGTGGCTTCACGCTGCCCGTGGTGAGAGCAGGGCTCCTGAGGGTCCCCCTGACGCCAGGAGAAGAGAGGAGTTAAGTCTGGCTGGCCTCTGACGATCCACTTTGGTTTCTAGTCAGTACTTTTAAGATGCACAGCTGTGGGTTAGCAGGAGCTGTTCATTGGTTTGACAAATTATTTGAAGGACTTTCTGTTTCTCTAGACTTTGGAGGTGGCCCCCCCACGGGAGAAAATACCCCAGCCCACGTCAACACAGGCCTGGTTTGGTTATTCCTACCTTCCTCCTGCTGTCTGTTAGTCAGACATTCTCGAATGTAAAACTGGCTTTAATGTCAAGTACTCTTTGTGTTCTCATTTTCTAGTATTTTTATGAAATATGTTGCGGTTCAGTTATGAAGGGATTTATTATCTTAGAGAATCTGTAGTGCACTTTATCTAATATGTACTAAGCTTGAAAATTATCTGCTACATTAATGTGATTATTTTCAACATCAGATTTAGGTTTCTCGGTTTTTTTAAATGCCTTCTAGAATATCTCATTTTTTTAAATGCCTCCTAGAATATCTCAGTTTTTTTAAATGCCTTCTAGAACTACTGAGTTCTCAAATTGTTTCCAAGGCCTTAAATAAACAGCTCCCCAGAGTTCCAATGAAATTTCTTCATGATTAAAATAAACTTCCAGCAGCATTCATGAATTCAGATGAGGCACGACATGTACACAGTGTCACATGACTGAGAGGAGCCAATGCCACTGGGCGCCTCTGGCACAGTTAGGACTGGCCCTTCTCGACTTTTATTCCAGGTGCCAACTGCAGTTCACGGCTGAACACTGAGAAAGTGTGGACCCCCCAATGGCATGCTGACCTCGGGAGGGCTGAAAAGTTTTATACCTCATAATGTCTCCCATATTCATCTTAAAAATAACTCTCATATCAAGACCAATCTGAACAAGAGCAAGACCCCCTGTCCCCCCAAAATAGACAAATTAGCAGGACATAATGGCAGGCACTGTAGTCCCAGCTACTCGGGAGGCTGAGGCAGGAGGATTGATCACTCGAGCCCAGGACTTGGAAGTTGCTGTGAGTTATGACAATGCCACGGCATTGTACCCAGGGGAGACTCTGTTTAAAAAAAAAAAAAACTTTCCTGTATTGTCATGTAATGTTTATAAATGTCAGGATTATATAGTATTGGAAAACACCTGATAATGTGAAACTTAGGAAGGAGAACCTGGTGTAGATTTTCTTTGTTCTAACACCTAAACCTGCATTTGCTCCTGTGCCTGTATCTGGCCTGTCCTCTTACCCGACACAGCCGCCGTCAAGCCCACACTGTTCTGTGGGTTCGCCAGTTAAGTGGCCCGTCAAATAAAGGGGATGAACAAATTTCCGTTAACTGCAGTTTCTTCAGAACTGTGTTCATGGTAGAGTGAAACAGTCACAGCAGGTGAAATGGCGAACCTGGTGGGAGGTAAACGGAGTTTGTCCAGTTGCTCAGGATGAATTTAAGGGAAGTCTCTTGATCCTTTGCCTCCAGTTCTCCCCATCCATAAAATCGTAATGTGGGTCTGAAGCCGGAGGTTCCTTCTAGCTTGACAGTTCCGTATGATAGCAGGCAGCTTGCATTTCCTAATTACAAACGGTCGAGAGAGGTACCTTAAGCTGAAATTTCTTTAGTCAGTGCTTCACCAGGCTTGGACGCTGGTCTGGGTGAATGTCTCAGCGTCAGTCTCGTTTGTCCATATGCTGCCCCGTACGGACGTCAGCAGACCTTCTGGGAGAGGGTGAGTAAAGCTTTCTTTTTAAACTTCCCTTTTGAGAGACTTCTGTGTCTTCATGGCTGTCCTCACCTGCCTCTGGAGTCTGTAGACGCCTGTCCTCCCTCTCTCCTCCCCCTTTCTCTCTGTCTCCGGCCCCTGCAGACTCTCTGGCCGTGCTTTCCTCTGCTCCGTCTGAAGTTCAGATTTCAGACCCCTTTGCCTCGGAGCCTGCTCCTCCTACTACAGCCGCTGAAATGGCACCTGCTGCAGCCTCTGCCTCAACCACCACCACTGTCACTGCTGTCACTACTGTCACTGCTGTCACCGCTGACGTCGATCTCTTCGGAGGTTAGTCACTGTCCGTTTCCCTTTCAGGATTGCTGGAATTACCGGGGATTGAGGTGTTTACAATGTTCACGTTGTATCAACTGCATGCCGGAGTGTTCACGTACTTTTTTAATGTCAAACCGTATACATTTATCTTCACTAAACTCACGACTCTCGTCACTTACATTTGGCACTTTCATAGCAGAAGTCACTGTGTTTCAGTCCAGGCCCACATGATTTCCTGGTTTTTCCAAGTTAGGACGGAGGTTGCACCTGCTCTGTCTGCCCTGCTCTGCAGACCAGCTCTCTCTGTCTACATAGGTTGGGCTTTTTAGTCCAGATTAGAACCAGTGCAGAGAATATTTGAGGAATATGTGGGCAAGGCAATCCTGGTTGCAAGTTATTTCTTCTGAATATTTAGGCCAAAAAGTTATCCAAGAGTGGTTCAGATTAGCACCTCTCTAAAGAGTTTAGGGATGTGCTTATTTCTGCAGCTTTAAGCTCATTCTGTCCAAGTAAAAATTTGGATCTTCTCTGGCACTGGAACTTAGAAAACGTCTGAAATGGCACTTGAGTTGCTGCTTGAAAACAGGTGCAGGTTAGTCTGTGAAACGTCTGTCTGGAAATAAAGTTTCCATGCAAATATAAATTCTGACCCAGTAGAAAGATCCTAGACTCTGCCAGGGTGATATGTTCAGACCTCAGGAGCCACGTGAAGCCAGTTGATTCACACGCACCCCAGCCCCATCAAAGGGGGCTTCCTCCATGCCAGCGGAGTCCCCATGTCAGACAAGTGTGCCCTGGGTGGTGCTAGCAGTCATGTGTCTTCTTTACCATGTAACATCTTTCCTGGGGGATTTTGAGAACATGGTAAAGAAATTGGTGGAAGCCAATGATGGTGTGGCAGGAGAGACGTGGCAGGCTTGGGTGGCACTGGTGTCTTCCCTGGGGACATGCATGAGCCCGCTGTCAGTCACCACTCCACTCTGCGCTGTGCCCAGCTCTGAGGTTGGCCGGCATCTTCCAAGACAAGGAATGCTCAGGAAGACGCAGCATCACCTCCACTGTCACACAGGGGAGTTTCTGCTGCTGTGGGCACCGTCATTCCTATCCCAGGAGAAACCTGCTTTTAGGGAAAGTAGGGGAGAAGGGCTGGCAGCCCTTTCAGAGTTTTATTATGAAGAGTCAGCCACAGTAGCAATTAGTTCTTCAGGTATACCCCTGTTATCTTTTGAAACCAAACCTTTAAGTTTTAGCTGAAATTTATAGTATCAACTTCTTCATCCTTCTCCCACCCCGGTTGTTGGTGTTGGGAGTGGGAGTTCCTCACCGGCTTCTGTGAACAGAAAAACTACAAGGGAATGGGAGGTATGGACAGGATGGATACCCGTTCCCTGCTGAAGCATCTCTGCATCTTTAATTGTTTATAATTTTAGTTTTCAATCCACTTATCAGGAGTTTCTAAAAAGTCAGCCCACTCCGTCTCCTTCCCTCACAGCCCTCTAGAAAATGGAACACTTTACAGTGTTCTTTGTGCCATAATGCATTCATGTCTAGCATTTATTATTGCTTCCACTGTGTTCATCAAGCAGAAAGTCTGTGTGTTTGGAAATATCTTCATGGTGGCTTTATTTTTACCTTTAAATGCAAGTTTAAAGGATTAGTACAGCTGCCAGAGAGTTGGCTACCCTCACGATTCATCAGTATCCTTTCCAGTCATCCGGCTGTAAATGGATGAAAGTGACTGCATCTGAAAATCTCATCACACAATTATTTTATTGATCTGTACTTCTGTAAACTGCCTCCTGGCCTCTGACAGCTATGCAGTTCCCGGCATCTGCGTTCAGGAGTCCGTATGTGCCCCTGTCTGTTTTGTGTTTTTCAATGATTTTTTCTAATTTCTTTTATGCCCTTTATTGTTTTAGAAGAAATCATTGGAAAATTCGATTTTAAATATAAACCCAAACTAAAATGTCTTTGGCCATTTTGTGTGCCATGTCTTGTGTTTGGCCCGCTCTGTAATAGGAAAGCAGTAGAATTTGAGAAGAATAAAGTCACCAGTTATACTTTATTTACAAAACTTTAGGACGTGCCTTTCTGAGGTTCTGTGCTTCGTGGATACAACTAACATAGACCTCTGTAGACAGGAGCTTAATGAATTTCAATTTCAGAAAAATGGCTGTTTAATTTCAGGAATATGACATGTTAAACCATTAAAATTATACATGTATTTTAGTTCCATATTTAAATCACAAATTTGGAAAGTAGTATAATTCTGTTACTTTTAACAGAAATATTCAGATTGACACCCACATAATGTTTTGGTCATTCCATGTAAGTAGTTCATGTGAAAGTCATTGAACTTATTTTTTTTTCCAAAATACATTACATTTATCAAATGCTATTTTTGTAAAGTGAACTTTTAAGACATAAAATCTGCTTCCTATGACCACACAGCACAGACTCTAAGGCGGTGCTTTAAAAAATTAGCTAAAACTTAATAAATATTGGTAAAATAAAATATAAAATCCTTAAATACACCCTATTTTTTATTTAAGCAGACTTCACTCACTGCTCCTGGATTTGTAACAACACAAGGTCTTTCCAGTACTGATGCTAATTCCTCTGCATACCTGGGGGTGTGGACAGAAGCCAGAGAACGTCCCTCACCAGCCTGACCATGTGTAAGGCTGGTGATCAAAGCTGGTCAATCATCCTCAAAACCAGCACTTAAATATCAGCACTTACAACTAGATTTCATGTAAGAGCTTTATAATCTGGGATCTTTGAGGAAGAAAAGAAACCAAAATGGTGACTCTTGGGCTATTGAGAACAGCCAGAACCCTGAGTGTGTGGGTTAAGGATAGTTTGTGTGGCTGGAGCAGACAGGAAGAATAGCTGAGGCTGAGCAAATGAGAGCTACTGCAAGTCTGGAGAGAGCTGGTGGTGGGAAGAAGGGACGACGGATCTGTACTAGTCAGATGAGATTACAGGCTGGGCCTGGGCTGAGTCATACTGTGGAGTGGCAGGAGAATGCGTTTCCAGGAAGTAGTGCTGGTTGAAAATTTGGCAGAATATAGAAGTGAACTGCAAATGAGTGACCAGGAGGAGAGAACTGGGTTGGAAACAGCTTTAGTTTGTAATGCTGGAAAGATAATGCTGCCACCGATGATAAGGGAAAAGAAGGTATTAAAAGTAGTTTTCTTTAACATCAAAGTTTTATTATCTCAGCTGGGCATGGTGGCTCACACCTACAAACTTACCACTTTGGGAGCCCAAGGAGGGAGGATTGCTTGAGGCCAGGAGCTCAAAACCAGCCTGGAAAACTTAGTGAGACCCCATCTCTACAAAAAAAAAGAAAAATTAGATGGATGTGGTGGTGGCACCTGTGGTCCCAGTACTCAGGAGGCTGAGGAAGGAAGGAGGATCCCTTGAGCCCATTGAACGCTATTGAACTCTAGTTCCAGCAACAGAGCAAGACACTCAGGGGCCCACCCAGCTCAGGGGGCCACTTCTTGCCCAGGTCTCTGTCCCCACTGCAGGAGGACAGTGACTGGGCCTTGTGCCATCCGGGCTCATTCTCATCTTCTCCTGGGCTGGGAAGACTCAGACAACGGGAGTAGGAGCAGTATGGGATCTTATGTTTAAGAAAAGTTTTGCTAGGGGTAGATGAGTTAAGTTTATAATGCTTAGTTTTAAATAACAAGGGAAGCATTAAAAGGAGATGTCTTGCTGATGGGGGGCATCTCATGCGGCCTTAATGCAGGTTTCACCTACTCCCACACAGTGGTAACCTACTAAGGTCAGTCCTGGGGCTATCACTGATGCTTATTTCATATTAAAAGGGGGCAATAGTGTAGAATAGTGTGACCCAGCTCATAGCAGTGTGGGAGGCCGGCAGGGCTCAGTCCACAAGGCTCAGTCAGACATCTTTGGGCCAGATCCTAACTCTGCTATTTGCTAACCTTGATCAAGTCACTGCAACTTTTATAAAAAAATTAATTTATTTATTTATTTTTGTTTGTTTGTTCTTTGCAGTTTTTGGCCAGGGCTGGGTTTGAACCCGCCACCTCCAGCATATGGAGCCGGCACCCTACTCCTTGAGCCATAGGCGCCACCCAATTTATGTTTTTAATTGCCAAAAATTGTGTATATGTATCATACTCAGCATAATGTTTTATTGTGATTGGCTAGGTTGAACTAATTAATGAACATACTCATTACCCCACGTCGTGTAAGGTGGGAACACTTAAAATCTTGTAAGTGCTGGGTCTCTCCCCTACAGAACGGAGATTACCTATGTCACAAGATAGCCTCAGAAATTAAATTTAATAACGCCCCCAAATATGACTGCCGTTACTGTTTCTGCTCTCTCCTATTATTGGCCTCAGTCCAGGTTTTGTAGGGATGAAAAGGACAAAAGCAGCCTGACTCTGGCAGGATGCGTGTGGCCCTCCCAGCCTGCCTCACACCTGTGTTCTGTCCCCACTCCTCCAGCTTTCATCATGCTCTAAGTCCTGGAGTATAGCACCCTTGATGGGGCAGCTGGGAAGCAGACTGGTGTACTTTTGATGTTTCTTTCTTTCTTTCTTCTTTTTTTATTTTTCTTTTTTTTTTTTGAGACAGAGCCTCACTCTATGCCCTGGGTAGAGTGCTGTGGTGTCACAGCTCGCAGCAACCTCAAACTCGTGGGCTCAAATGATCCTCCTGCCTCAGCCTCCCTAGCAGCTGGGATTACAGGCACCTGCCACAATGCTGGGCTAGTTTTTCTATTTTTAGTAGAGATGGGAGTCTCATTCTTGCTCAGGCTGGTCTCAAACTCCTGAGTTCAAGCAATCCAGCCACCTCAGCCTCCCAGAGTGCTGGGATTCCAGACATGAGCCACCATGCCCAGCCTTGATATATTTTCCATTCTTGAGTATTACTCATTTGTCCTCTCCCCTGACCTCTGCCCAGAACATATATACTCCCAGTGCAGCTGAGAAAAGCAATCAGGTCAAATTAATCTGTAAGATATAAATAAGTGATGCTTATTGTCCCTTGTAGCGATATTTGTGTTTTTGTAAAGGACCTTTTAACCCAATTAAGTCTCTGACTTAATGTCTGTTATTCCACATAACCCCAGACCTCAGGCATCACTGACAGTGCTTTGTGCTCATCTCAGTTTGGGGCGTGTTGGGTAAACTGAGATACAAGCCTTCTGACTGCAGGACTTAAGAGCCTGATACAGGAAGCAGATTTCCAGGGAAGAGGCTATGCCCTCATTTCTCAAGTGTACTTGACAAATTTGAGGACTGGAGGAACGTGTTGTGGGGAACACTGATGGGTGTTATAGAAGACAGTGTTTTGGGATGGGGGCCGAGCAGGTAAGTGGCAGGTGCTAGGTAGGTGTGGGTCCCCACCTCCCGGAGGGTTCTCCTCCAAGCCTGTCATACTTACGATGTCTTGAATCCTCCTGTACTTTTGAGACTGAAGAGCCTCTATGCAAGCTCTAGGACTTTTTATTATAATTGACATGGTTTGTTGGTTGAAACGCAGTAGGAACCATTTGTATACATCAGCCAGCACCCAGTGTAAACTGGGCATCTATAAACTGTGGCTGCTTGTTTGTTAGCAGTTTTCAGCTATAACTAATGATACACTTATAGTTTAAAAGATAACACTATATTTTTAATCTGTTGGGAATAGATGATTTCCTAAATAGATAGGAAAATATTTTAAATAGCATTATGGCATCATACCCTAATTTTGTCTCTTTATTTCTTTAAAACAAGTTCTTGGTTATTTCTGAAAATGCTTTTCAGGGATAGTGAAGGCTTAATATTTAAACCTTTCAGGTGAAAGTTTTATGTAAGTTTGCCTGTCCTAGACTATAAGAAATTTTTAAACTAGTATTGTTTGTTTACATAGCCATCATCTATTTAATTTTATTGACATTAAAGAAAACGTCATGTTTGCTAGAAGCCACTAGTCAGTGGCATGATAATAACATAGCAAATGCGTACATGAAAGTTTAATGTCTAAAATTACATAACAGTTATTTTTGTTTTGATTTTAACATCCATTACTTTCTAATGATGCATAAAACATGCTTCTCAGAGCCCTTATACAATGAGAATCTTGTTACCAGTGGGTCCTCCCAGGCCACGGAAGACCAGCACTGTATTGCTTGCATGTTAACCCACACAAAGGTACACCAAGAACAACCATTTTGTGACCATCATTATTGCATGGGCCATGAAAATGCATTTTTAAAAATTCATGTTGTATAAGGGAGCCTTCTTCACAATTTAACCTGGTTCTTTTACTATATTTTCTTCTCTTTTTATTCCTTTAATTTCTATTGTTTTAAAAACTGCACCCAAGATGCCTTTGCAGCTTCTCCTGGGGAGGGCCCCGCAGCATCCGAGGGGGCGGCGGCTGCAGCTGCCCCAGCCCCGGTGGTAGCGGCCCTGGATGCTTGTTCAGGAAATGGTGGGTGTGATGTCTGAGCCAGTGCGTTACTGTCTGTCCTCCTGTGATGCCCGTAGTTAGATGTGGCGGTGTGTTTTCCTGATTTTATGTTGTTCTGAGTGTAAAGTATCACCCATCATGGCTAAGTAAATAATGCCAGCATTTGAAACATTAAGACAGTGAAGCCATACTCACCAAAATTGGCAATTTCTTAAGATTGACAATTTTTGTCAGCGCAAGTATGCTCTCTTAATGTTCTCTTTTTCTCTAATGCTGTTATTACACCCCTTTATAACACTGAGTTAAACATATTGGCACGTCCTAATGAATTTCCAAAGCTACTAAATTGGTTCGGTGAAGGAAGAATTTGGGAGATGGAGCTCTGTGATCCCAGGCCCAGCCTCATGCGCAGCCCTCCGCGGGGGCTTCGCTCTCCCAGCTCAGGGCCCCTTCTAAGTTTCCTTTAGATGAAACGTCCTTAACCCTGCCCTGCTGGTAGCGTAGCAGTTAGCCCGGCAGCCTGGCCCCGCTAGCGTGTCAGCGCCCTGCACGGTGCTCCTACCCCAGGTGACCTCTCTTTCTCTCCTCACTGACGCTGTGTCCCCTCCCTTCCTGAAGACCCCTTTGCCCCGTCTGAAGGGAGCGCGGAGGCCGCGCCCGAGCTGGACCTCTTTGCCATGAAGCCGCCGGAGACCAGCGCTCCCGTAGTGACCCCCACAGCTAGCGCAGCCCCTCCGGTTCCCGCCACCGCTCCTTCTCCTGCTCCTGCCGCTGCGGCCGCCGCTGCGGCCACTACCGCTGCCACCGCCGCCACCGCCACCACCGCCAGCACCTCCGCCGCTACCGCCACCACCGCTCCTCCTGCTCTAGATATCTTTGGTGGTAATTTTTTGTCGTTGTCGTCCCTTCTCTCCCGCTGGGGTGAGCTGTGCTGCACACAGCTGCCACTGCGAGGAGACTGTGTCACCGCCCGGTCCCCTAGAAACCACCTGCTGCTTAATCCGGAAAAGCGCGGCTCCGAAGGGGAAGGGGCGCCGCTGGGCGGCTGTTCAGGCTGAGTAAGGCTTGTGTGTTCTCGTCTCAGATCTGTTTGAGTCCGTGCCCGAAGTCGCCGCTGCGCCCAAGCCCGAGGCCGCCCCCGGCATAGACCTGTTCGGGACAGGTAAAGCCGACCCGCCCGCTGCCGTGTCACGGCCGCTTTCCCACCAAGCTCTCTGCGCTCACCTGTGACCGCGCGTTTGCTAGATCTCTGCTCTGACCCCAGCCTCCGCCCCTCACTCTGCTTGGTTCTGCTTTCTTTCGCTTTCGGAAGATGCTTTCTCGTCGCCACCACCTCCACCGCCGCCAGGCGCCTCTCCCGGGCCCGAGCGCGCGCTCACCGCGGACCTCTTATCCGGTGAGTGCGGGTCCGCGCAGGTGTCCGCGCGGCGAGTGCCCTGCCGGGTTCCCCGGAGGTGTCCGCGGGGCAAGTGCCCTGCTGGGGTCCCCGGAGGTGTCTGCAGGGCGAGCACCAGGGTCCCCCTGGAGGTGTCTGCAGGGTGAGTGCCCTGCCGGGGTCCCCACAGGTGTCCTCGGGTGAGTGCTCTGCCGGGGTCCCCCTGGAGGTGTCCATGGGTGAGTGCCCTGTTGGGGTCCCCGGAGGTGTCCGCGGGGCAAGTGCCCTGCTGGGGTCCCCGAGGTGTCTGCAGGGCGAGCGCCAGGGTCCCCCTGGAGGTGTCCGCAGGGTGAGTGCCCTGCCGGGGTCCCCCTGGAGGTGTCCTCGGGGCAAGTGCCCTGCTGGGGTGGGGGGGGTGTCCGTGGGTGAGTGCCCTGCGGGGTTCCCTGGGGGTGTCTGCAGGTGAGTGCCCTGCCGGGGTCCGCAGAAGTGTCTGCGGGGTGACTGCTGGGTCCCGCTGGAGGTGTCCCCGGGCTAGTGCCCAAGTCCCCAGAGGTGTCTCTGGGGTGCACGTGCAGAGCAGACACACCACCACTTTGGTTTGCCCTGAGGTCTTTTAAATTCAAAATTTACTTTGAAAAAAAATCGTATTTTTTGGCCTGTCACCAGCTGGTGAGGTTTAGTATTCCCAGGCTAGGGCTGGTGAAAAGAAAACATTTTTTCACACTAAAACCTCTGACCTCAAGGAGTCACATTTTATTTTGTTACGAACGTGTATATCTAAAATCCATTTGCTTTTCCCTAACTGTAAAGGAGGGTCTGCAGTCCTCCTGCCCGGAGCTGACCTGAACCCTGAGGGGCGGCGGGCAGGGCTGTGGTTCTCTCCGGTGACACTTCTCTGTTCTGTCGCACAGTGGACGCCTTTGCAGCCCCAGCTCCTGCACCCGCTGCCTCTCCAGCGCAGGCCGACTCTTCGGGGGTGATAGACCTTTTCGGGGGTGCGTATCTCTCCTCTGTAAGCTTAAGGAGTCTTTCCCCCCCTTTAGAATAGTTTTTAGATCTTCTATTTCATTCTACTTCATCATTTTTTTCTCTGAACCATGTGAAGTTATTTCTTCTCTTAAATGCAAACTTAAGTTTTTAAGATCGTTTTCACTTCTTTGTCATCATTCCCACCCTCATCAGTTCATCCTAATTTTCAGTGCATGACTTAACTGAACCAGATAATTTTTCATTTGAAGTCTTCATGTTTCCAACTTTTGTTCATGGAGATGTAGAATCCCCTGATGGGAATTTCCTTCCCCTGCTCTTCCTCGGTGATCTGGATCTGTGCTAAGTCAATATCACCAAGTTCTCAAAAGCAATTCAGACTCAGTGCCTGTGGCTCAAGCAGCTAAGGCACTAGCCACATACACTAGAGCTGGAGGGTTCAAATCCAGCCCAGGCCCCCCAGATGACAACTACAACCAAAAAATAACCAGGTGTTGTGGCGGGTGCCTGTAGTCCCAGCTACTTGGGAGACTGAGGCAGGAGAATAGCTTGAGCCCAGAAGTTGGAGGTTACTGTGAGCTGTGATACCACAGCACTCTACCCAGGGGGACAGCTTGAGGCTCTGTCTGAAAAAAAATAATTATAAAATAAAAGCAATTCAAACATGAGCGAGATAGCTTAGAACTGAAAACAAATAAGCCAGTTAAAACTGGCAGCATAAGATGGTGTCTGCCTGTTCTGTGGGGCTCAGTGTTTTAAAATCCTTCCCGAGAATTAGAAGGATGGGAAAGTGTGTTGAGATTTAAATGTATTCTTGGCCTCCTTTGTGCTCTATTTGAAGGCAGAGAGATGTACTGAAGTAGCTCTTGGCTGTCCATCTGGGCGATACAGCCGAAACTTTATTTTGCAGGAGGTTTCTAGGGAAATGTCTGAAGGGACTTCGCCATGAATACCATACAAAGCCCCTAAGTTGGTGGAAAAACCACCTTTAGAAAGGTCAGCCAGCTGAGTACCCAGTGAGCACTTAAGCACCGTGGTGAACACCATGATGGGTGCAAGGATGCCACAGTCTGTGACCATGGATGGCTCAGAACTGTGTCACACACTGAACCGGGATATATGGGTACAAGTACTGGTGCTGCTGCTTGAATTAAATTTATGAAGATTTGTTAAGGTGTAACAGAATTTTAAATGGAATTCTATTTTATTACTTCTCGGTAAAAAATTTTAAAGCTTTGATCCTATTTTGATAGTTGATGAGATGTAGTCCAAAAGGTTTATTTTCAAAAAGGGCATTCTCTTAACCTTGTAAAGAGGTGTTAATTCTTAAATGTTTCAGAATGCTTTTTTGAGAGAATAAACTGGTCAGAGCATTAGTGAGTTCACTCAATCATGTCGTGAACCCATGGCAGAGGAGCTGCCGCTCACTGCCGTGTCTTCATGTTTCTCTGCACAATGTCACGTTACTTACTGTTCACACTCTCTCACTTTTCTGCTGCATGATGGATGGCGGATAGATGCGTTTGGGAGTAGTGCTCCTGAGCCCCAACCTGCACCTCAGGCTGCTTCTAGCTCATCAGCATCGGCAGACCTCCTAGCTGGTAATGAATCACATGCATAAAATGGTGTTTTGTGGAAGTTAAGTTTGGATATATATGTATACTTTTCTAAGTGACAGATATTACATAAGTTGCAGAGTGTGTGTTTTATTTTCTTTTCAAGACATGAAAAGTAAGATGCTGTATAAGAGAAGTTTGATTATTTCCCAGGGTTTTACGAAATGAAATTATCTTAAAAATCCCACCAGTAAACAAGCCACCCCTGTGACGTCTCATAACTTGCCTTCTGTCAGTCCCCATGTTTCTTTGTATCTGTTAGAAAGGAAACAACCTGCTTATGTAGCAATTTGTATCTTATAATGTCTAGTTGCATTTTTTTTAAAGAATTTGTGGAGAATTTTTGAAAGAAATGTACAGTAATGTTTGACCATTGGTTCTGTAATACATGAATCACTCTAAGAGAAACTGTTACAGGTGCCCACCACACCCCCAGTCAGAGATGCTGGTACATGCAACACTTTTTCAAACACAATGGCCATTTTTTCTACATGAAAACTCATGGGGTGATCCCAGGTCAGCAAGGCCATCATGTGGAGCAGATTGGTACAGTTCACCTGTTTGTTGCCAGGATAGTGTAGACAGAATGAAAGGGAACAGGTCAAGGGCTCTAAGATGGTCAAAGCCCTGTGCGGGTCTTTCTCAGGGCAGAACAGCTTGTGCTCAATGGTAGCCTGGCCTGGAAACCGCTGTTGCTGTCAGCAAGGCATTTGCTAGATGCGAGGCCCCAGTTTAGGTACAAACCAAGGAACTCATGAGGCTCCCTGGGCAGCCTCGCTGCAATTTTCCTTAGAGGGAACATAACAGGAAGCACACAGCAGCATCGCACAGGCCTCGGACATGCCAGTGTCACTCTGCAGCCACCACGGGGGAGGCATTCCCTCCCTCCCCCACACTAGACCAAGGACTGATAAGTATGTGGGTCCAATCAGCACAGGGGAGCCACCATGTCCAGGGGCTCTCGGCTGACATCCCTGCAAGCCATGATCAGCACAGGGAAGCCACCATGTCCAGGGTCTCTTGGCTGACATCCCCTGTGAGCCACAATCAGCACAGGGGAGCCACCATGTCCAGAGTCTCTCGGCTGATATCCCCTGTGAGCCACAATCAGCACAGGGGAGCCACCTTGTCCAGGGTCTCTTGGCTGACATCCCCTGCAAGCCATGATCAGCACAGGGGAGCCACCATGTCCAGAGTGTCTCGGCTGACGTACCCTGTGAGCCACAATCAGCACAGGGGAGCCACCATGTCCAGGGTCTCTCTGCTGACGTACCCTGTGAGCCACAATCAGCACAGGGGAGCCACCTTGTCCAGGGTCTCTCGGCTGACATACCCTGTGAGCCACATAGCTCTTTGAAAGGGCAGGTGACTCGTTCCCATTTTCAGTGCGGCCATAGTCACAAATTACAAGTTACCCTGGGAGCAGTTCTGACATCCCATGCGGCAGGCTGAGGGACACTGGTTTCCCGGTAGGTGATGAGTAAGGACAGGTCCTCCAGGACCTTCTCCCACCCTCAGGGTTGCAGGAAATCTGCCTGAGGTCAGATGCTTCCCTGAGCAGCTGAAGCAGGCAGTCACAGCCCCACTCCTAACCTTCCTTCCCTCCAGCAGTGATTCAGACTGGTTACTTAAGCATTTCCCTGGGGCAACAGTGCTTTTGTGTCTTTCCCACCCCCGCCCCCCTCCCCCAGACTGCCTTGAAACCCATGGAACTTGTGTGCTGAGTCCACTCACACCAGTGACTTCCAGCTGATATTTTCCTGAAGGAGAAGGAACCAGGGCCCCACCGTGACCTTGTTGCAGACTTTGGAAGCTGCAGCTCTCATGAGAGGCAGTGCCTTGAATGTGAACCCCAGCTGGTGACTGGGGGAGACAATGCTGGCTTGCCCGGCTTTTCTCTTGGCCCATGTATCCTTCATAGTAGCTCCAAATTGGCCACAGAAAACTTTCAAGCTCTTACTAAATGAATAAACATAATTCAGATCTTCAATAAGATTTTAACATGCCACAGAAATAGCACCTAAGTTTTACATGGCTATTTGGGGGAAACATGACCTTAATTTTTAAATGAGATTTCTGATTGAAAACCTGTTACTTGGTAGTTATAGTTAAGGTTGAAATGACACATGAAATCCAATGTTCTGACTTTTTGCATCATTCTAAGAAGTCTGTCTTCCTCTCCTGGGTATCCCCTCCCCTGCCACGAATTTTAAAGGGAGGTTTGAAGCCTCCCAGCAGGAGCCTGGCAGAGTGGTCAGCCACACAGTCTACTCCAGTGTCCCCTGTCCATGGTGGCCTGTCTGCACCCTCCAGGGTACAAGACATTTTGAGAAATTGTGTTTCCAGGAGTCCAGGGCAGACGGCACTGGGGCAGAGAGTCCAGTCAGAGCCGGTGTGGGGGAGGAGAGCTTGTTCCATCCATCCCAAGGCAGAGGTTAGTGACACAGCCAAGAGATTGGGCCCTGGGGAACAAGACAGGACCTAAAACACACCTGGGGTGCGAGGTGCCTCAGCCTCGACTGCACGGCGTGATGTGTGGACAGGTCCAGCAGGGCCATGCACAGAGTACAGGTTAGCTCATCTCCAGAGGTCATTGCGATGCCCACTCTGAAATCCTAGTGACATGGGATGAAAAAGAGGAGAAAATCCATGACATAAGTCACAGTGTCACTCACGTGGCTCTTACTACACTCTTTCCGTTTCTCCTGCCTCACTGACCAGGTAGTGTTTCCTTTCTTACGTCTCTGGTACTTTTCTATTCAAATGAATTAATATTTAATGTAATTGGGTGTGGACAGCTTAGAACAATTCTCATAACTCAGTTTATAGTGGGATTTACTTGACATGGGGCAAACTAATGTTCCTTTCACTTTATGTAAGAAATTTTAAATTACTTTTAATTTCTGGAGGTCTTAATTTGGGGGGCCAGCTTTTCATACTTTACTTTGCTTATAGAAAAATATTTCTTGTTACTTGGTCAAGGGCCAGAACATCAGAAAGCCCTGTTCTCACTGAGGAGCATAATGGAACATGAAGATAATTTTATCCTGGGGACCAGGGGCAACTTTCCCAGCAAAAAGAAAAAAGAAAAAAACTTTAAGATCCTGCCAATATACACAGCCACATTTACATATGTGATTTAACTGGCAGTCGGCTGTTTCTGAGTTTCACATCACTCATGCATTTATGTTTCCTGTCTATCATGTAGGACAAATATTTGGGGCCCCGAGGGGGCGTAGTTTGCAGTGAATATTTGTGTGGGGAGTTATGTGGGGAAGGAACAGCTAAGTCACCAAAACTTAAAAAAAATTTATTAAAAAATAATGAACTTTGGCTCAGCACCAGTAGATCAGTGAGTAGGGCTCAGGCCACATACACAAAGCTGAGTTCAAGCCCAGCCTGGGCCTGCTAAACAACAATGACAATCACAGCCAAAAAGTAGCTGGGCGTTGTGGCAGGTGCCTGTAGTCCCAGCTATTTGAGAGGCTGAGGCAAAGGACTTGCTTGGGCCCAAGAATTTGAGGTTGCTGTGAGCTATGACGCCATAGCTCTCTACCGAGGGTAACAAAGTGAGACTCTGTCTCAAAAAAAAAGAGCCTTATCACAGATAATAAGCCCACAAATTGATGAGGTTCAAAGTAGAAATTTGAACTCCCCAAAAAGAGGGGGAAGAGAGTTACATTTTATGAAGGATTATCTCTAATCTTATACTTAATGTAACTATTTTGTGAAAGAATAAAAACGAAAATAATACAGTCACTGTCAAGAGAGGTTTAGATTGTCCAAAACAAACCTGTTCTTTAGACTGAGGACTTTCACCCCGTGCTAAGATTTAAAAAAAAAATTTTTTTTTCTGAGGGAATACCTTTACATGTAAGTCGTAAGGGTAAGGCAATAAATATATGGTATAATTGGGTGGTACCTGTGGCTCAAGGAGTAGAGTGCCGGCCCCATATACTAGGGGTCCCATATGCAGGTTCAAGCCCGGCCCTGGCCAAAACTGCAAAAAAAAAAAAGTATATGTGTATATATATATGTGTGTGTGTACATATATGTATGAACATATATATGGTATAATTAAATGTTAAAGTGGTTGGTAGGGATTTTAAAAATTAAGAACCATCTTAAAATTGAGGAGAAGAAGCTTTATCAAACATTGGTATGTATTTTAAAACTAGAAAACCAAGGCTAAGTGGACAGTCTCTTAAAAATAGATATATCTGGGCAGCACCTGTGGCTCCATGGGTAGGGCTCTGGCCCCATATAGCAAGGGTGGCGGGTTCTAACCTGGTCCTGGCCAGCTAAAACAGCAGTGGCAGCTGCAACAACAACAACAAAAAAAAAATAGCTGGGCGTTGTGGTGGGTACCTGTACTCCCAGCTACTTGGGAGGCTGAGACAAGAGAATTGCTTAAGCCCAAGAGTTGGAGGTTGCTGTGAGCTGTGATGCCACAGCACTCTACCCAAGGTGACATAGTGAGCTCTGTCTCAAAAAAAAAGAACAGATATATCTGTCACAAAAACTGTGTGTTCTTTATTCAAACTTAGTTCCAGAATTGTCAGATAATAGCAGTTGTAGAACTGAGCTGTACTTGAAATGTCTTCATAGTTTCCTTCCACGACTTCAGTCTCTGACGCACCCAGTATAGTCAAACGAGAAAATCCTGGGAAGGTGATTGTGTGGCCAGTGAAGACAGACTGAACAACAGTTCTCCAAATAATGAAAGGAAGGAGGAAGGGAGGAAGGAAAGAAGGAAGAAGGGAAGGGAGGACACGTAACAAGAAGACAGACGTGATCCATGTCTCAGACGGAGTCTGGCTGGAAACTTGGAAGTCAAGTTTATAACTAATGAAAAGAACTATTATTTCACACAGCAAAGAGTAAAGCTGTCCAACTCTGCTCAACATATGCCAAACAAAAGTGCAGGTGTTTGAAAGATATAGACAGATTCCAGGGTGACAAGGGTGAACACTGATTATGAGGGTGTGTGAAGGGCGTGCTGACTCCTGAGGTTGACATCAGGCAGGACAGCCATGCTCTTCACTCCTGAGGTTGGTGTCAGGCAGGACAGCCATGCTCTTC